CTCTTTTCCAATATTGAAACTATAGCTTCTTTGCTAGATTTCAAAGAATCAAATGTTGACATTGGGGAGACATGCCCAGCTAAGTCGTCGCACCAGTTCCTGAAATCTTCGCCTCCGCTTAGCTCTTGATCAAAACCGCCCTTGAGAACTTGTAACGCCCCGGGTAATCTGAGATAATCAAGACTTGCAGCCATCTCACTGTTGGCAGTTTCTACACGTTCCGTCTCCGCCCGTACCAGTTTAGCCTTTTCTTCATCGTATAAGCTAGCTGATTCTGTCACAGACATAGGCACTATCTTTTGGAAGATGTCAGGTCCCGTGATACGTTGAATATCTTGACCAGCATAGAGTTCGCTAACTGGTATCGCTTTAGCAGCAGGAAGTTTTGGGATCACAGTGAGAGCCGCTTCGGCTGGTACAGTCTGGTGATAGATATAGTCATTATCCTTGATAAGCTCAGCAAGTTTTTCCTGGACATTGGTAAGATGACGCCTATTAATTTCTATCAAGGTTGTGCCTGTCTCTGATGTGAAGTTTGAATTGACGGGCACATTTCCAGGGAAACTGTTTGCAAGTTTACTGGCATCCTTAGATGATATTTCTGCTGCCTGTAATCGTGCAATAGCCACACCATGTGAATTTGCATCATCATCCGCAAGAGCCTGATAATACTGAGCTAGAGATGACATGTAATTTGCTTTGATCTATTTGCGTTAGTACGAATTTGCTATTTGATCACCACTATGGCCGAAGTTTGCCCCATAAAAGCGAAAAAGATTGAAAGCACCTACTTGTACCACTAGAAGCCAGACCTTTTCAAATATGGCCTTATTCACGTTGTCCTGGGTTCCTTCAAGCGCCTGAGAATACAAATAGCCTGCTTGGCTAGCAAGTTTTGCTAATAGTCCAACCTTCTTACCATCGGCAATTTGCTTTTCGAGAAACACTTCCTGGCCTTGAGCAAGCATAATCTGAATCAGAGTCTTAACCGTATCTCGACTTAAGTCCGTAGATGGTGCATGGAGAAAGTTCTCATTAATATAAGTGAACATGCCGGCAGATGCTTGGAAAGAATGATATGCAGTTTTCAGACCCGAGTCCTCCGATCGGTTTTGATGCGCTGCATGGCATGACAGTACGGCAGAAATGTTGAATATGATCGAAGCTTTTTCGTACGCCAAAGAATATTGTGCAGTGGCTTTGTGTGTAAATGCATCGAACCTGGCAACATTGTTAGCAGGATTCCGATGCCCCTCATTTGATTGAAACCTTACCAAGTAAAGGAGATTTTGATGTGATTCTCATCGACCGGGAATCGCAGGTCTAATAGTTCCAGCTGTCCATAATATCTGTAGAGAAGGTCCCTTCCGGCAGCACTGTCCTTCCCTGCTCCTCGCATATCCTGTCGCAAGCGGTTCAAGGTGGCACATTCCTCCGCATATCGTTCCGGGTCGTCACCATACGTCTGTCTGATATAGTTCTTCAACGGCTGTATCCAGTCGATTTCGTTGGTTGCCTTAAGAGGCGCTGATATCATCGGGGCTTGCATCTCGAAGATTGACAGGATGATGCTCGACACCCTGATTATCGATACCCGGGCAAAATTTGTGAAGGAGATATATCACTTCAAAGGGAAATCAATAGATTTGACTGTAGGTATCAAACAGATATAATGGACAATATCGTGTACACCGATACTCGTCGAATGTGGATGGGAAAGCGGTGGGGAGGAGGGGTTGGTGTCGTCAGTGGTAAGACTTGTTAATTTGTTAATTTATTTGGATGCGCAGTATCTTGAAAGAATGGTCCGATCCTTGCGCAAAATTTCACTCATGTATGTCATGGCTGTGTCATACCTGGGAAGCTATCAAAGTCCAATATTGATTTATTATTATGTAGTTTGATATGTTGAAGGAGAAATAGCAAATGTTTGTGACTATCTAGGTATTGGAAGTGAAATCAATCGATGGAAAGCAGGTGCCCAAAGCTATCATTACTCTGTGCTATGGAGTGTGTGGGACTACAGGGCACTAGCTGGTGCTACAATACAGGGAATCTGCACTGCTTTTTCTTTTTCTTTCTGCGGCCCTTCAGGAGGCCCAGATTTACTCAGATAAGCGCCAGAGAACACTTTGTAAGACCATAAATGATCGTGGAGATTATATATAAATTGCTGTTATACATCTAACATTCCGGATGCTTGTTTCCGTTTCGTACTATATCCATATATGGATGTTGTTCTCGTCATCATAATCACAATCATCATCATCATCATCATCATCATCATCATCATCAATCAATCAAGACACGGATGCAATTGAAATGATAGCAATCACACATAGCAATCACAAAACAAGAAGACGGACATGAAGAAACATCAACCCAACAGTTTGTTCTCTCTTCAACCACAATTAGGTGATGACCCACCATTGACCTGACGATGAAAGTGTGTTCCTCAAACTATAGGGTGTCAGCGTATGTAATAAGCGCCCTGTTTAGATAAGGAGACAGCCTCGACTCAGTACAACATCTATCAAGAGATACGCCTTATTCAATCGACATCATCTGCTAATCGGAGTACTCATATGGACAGATCGCCTGGTGTTGGGCTATTTAGGCTCTATCTCTGCACACAAATGAAGGCAGCATACAAGATAAGTACTAGGTTGCTAGCATGTTCTTTGCAGACGGTAGTCGTCACGGCAGCCATGTGTATTACATTTTGATTGGTAGGAAAGCCTCGTATTTCCCAGGTTCATCACATCCAGTCGTCGACGTGCATGTAGGCTGAGATGAAATCCTCTCGGTAGTGGGATGAACGGGGTATCAAGCGAAGCTGACCCTAGAGGATTATATTCATTGAAAAATTCCATGTATTAGTCATGTCACTGCTGTGAGTTGAGATATCATTTCATTTTATACTAATAAGTATGGGCCATGAATATATTCTAAACGGCATTCTAGAAGATATGCATTCGTAGATTGACAGCCATTCATCATTCCTACCATCAGGAGACGCCATGCTCCTTCATTTTACCCCTTTATCCTTTATACAGAGTGGCATTTCTAGACCTTTGCCATTTATCATACAGCGAGCTTCATCATTTCTTTCATTTCTTCTTAGAGTCATCTTCTTTATCGCCTTCATTTGGCGAATTAGCACCGTCTGTGAATTTGTGCCAGACGGATTTAAGGAACCCTTCTTGCTTGTTGTTATCTTCGGTATTTGATGGGGAAGATGACCTGTCTCCGTCAGTGTCTGGATTGAAAACAATGACACTGAACTTACGAAGAGCTTGAGGAACGGCCAACATTCATAATTCGCTTCGCCGTCTTGTCGTCCATCTCATCGGCGAGCATTTCCACGATTGTTCGCTGGTTGGCACTTAGGTATTTAGGCATGTTGACCTTGAATTCAACTTTCAGGTCGCCATTACCTCCTCTGCGTCCCTCTAACTTCTTCATTCCCATGCCCCCCAGAACAGTCTTGTCTCCAGTGCCGGTTCCAGTTGGCACCTTGACACTAACATCTCCATCCAATGTCGGTATCTTTACCTCACCTCCAAGTAATGCAGTTGTAAAAGGAATTGTTGCGGTGTATAAGATGTTGGACCCAGAGCGACTAAATTTTGGATCTGTGGCTACTCGAACGAGTACGTAAAGATCACCAGGTTGTGAAGGGCTATTGGGGTTTGCAGCCTGACCAGTAGCTGGAGCATCACCTTCCCTATCTAACCTCAATCGCATACCATCCTCAATACCTCCAGGTATGTCAACGTTGATAGTTTTCCGCTCACGCACGACACCATTTCCAGAACATGTCCGACATTCTCCTCCAGGTGGAATCGACATTCCTTGGCCACCACAGGCACTACAAGTTGAAGCCATTTGAAAACCACCCATAGAATGCACGCGAGTGCCGCTCCCTCCACAGGACTTACATGCCGATCGTTTTGTCCCAGATTTCATACCGTTTCCAGTACATGTTTTACAAGTAGATAATGGAGATATGTTGATGGTTTTGCTGGTCCCTTTTGCTGCTTCCATGAAGGAGATATTCGTTTGAACCTCAATACTGTCTCCCACAAGTATTTCTTCTTGAAACGGATTACGACCACCACCTCTACCCCTTTTGCCTCCAGTAAAACCTTTAAACAAATCTTCGAAATTGAAATCTGCTCCAAATCCTCCACCTGGGAAACCACCAGATCCACCCCCAAACCCTCCAAAACCCCCCGCACCGCCGAATGGATCAGCACCAGGTCCGGGTCCTGCTCCTTGGTCGAATGCTGCAGATCCATACTGATCCCAAGCTGCCTTTTTCTGTGGATCGGTTAAAAGTTCATAGGCAGATTGCGCTTCCGCAAATTTATCTTTAGCATTTGGGTCCTTATTGGTGTCTGGATGAAACTTTTTAGCAAGACCATAATATGCCTTCTTGATGGCTGATGCAGAAGCGCCTTTGTCGACTCCGAGAACATCATAAGGATTCTTCGTGGCTTGGTTTCTTGTTGTCGCATGGAAAGACTAGGAAGACTTCATGTCAGTACTTTGTTATGTGACTTTAGGCACTTTGACATAATAGATACTTACTCGTCGTTGTATTGGGTTAAATGTCAGGTCGTTCTGAGAAGACCTACATTTTCCCCTTGATGCGCAGATTGTCGAAAGACTTCGTGTTTGAGATGGCTTGTGGTCATCTCTTTTCAATGTACAATGACGACTTGCTGGTGTGGAATATAAAATTCGAGATGGATTCGCCGCCTTTGAAAGAAGGCCTGTTGTTCCTGTCTTCATTATGGTAGATTGATGTTCACCATGTACGCAAGGGAGATATCAAGATATGCAGTGCAATAATCACAGGAACAAATAAAAACTATTTCAGGTGAATGTATTGTTGAAGTTAAGCTAAAACTATCATGAATATCAACGATCATTCTGGAAAGCTCCAATATTTTTTTCTTTGCCGGCAAGGCAATTGAGATAGATCAGCCATGATTGGCTGAGCGTAATTGACCCCAGTAATTTATTACAAATCGCAACAAGGCTGAGAGTTACCAAAAGTTTTGAAATGCAAAACAAAAGTCTCTCCATTGATAGATGAATTGATTAGGTAGTTTGAAGTACTCATTCCATTCTATTGTCCATTGGTCATGACAGTCATTATTTTAAATAACTAATAAACTCCACAGTGAAAGCTCGTAAACCCCAACTCCCTGGAATGAAAAGGCTCTCCGTAAAGTGCTCTGTACAAAGTATTATACAAGTCTAACCCGATTATCCTTATAACACCAGCCATTCGTTCCCCTCCGTCGTATGCTCGTTGTATTATTAAATTAGGATGATAGTCGTTGAATATCAATCGAATTGAAGCCAAGTTGCTCACAAATTGTTGTGTGTACCTAGACTAGGCGGGTCGTTCAGGCTGAGATCGCTCCATAGGTCGCGCCTGTGGCATAAATCTCATGCGAAATTTCTTGTCTATGAACAATTAGCTGAGGTGTCGTTACCAGCTGAGAATAGCACCATATTGACTCACCCTGATATCGAACTTTATATAAGGTCTTGGCTACACATTCATTTTCGTTGACCGACTGACTGTTGAAGTGCTTGCGTACAGCGTTGGCCAATTGTTCTTTGCTCTGCCTCTTATTCTTACGAACCATGCTTGGTGACATGCGGCCAATACTCGATTGAGAGAGAACCGTTTGATTGTATGCACTGTTGAAGGCAGCAGGTGTATTTAATCCGTATTCGTATCGATACCTGTGCAAAAACGATGCGTCGAACTCTGACCATTGTATCTGTGAAGGAAGTTATTGTTAGCCTGTGTGCTTGATCTTCGAAGGTGATGATGGTGAATCATAATACTTTAGAATTTCCGTCGGTATTGGTATTTCCCGCAGCTCCTGCTATAACAGCAGATGCATTGGGTGTGCTATTTGCGCCCGATACATTTGCATTAACTGCACTGCTTGCCACGCGTTTGCCTTTCCCGTTTGCAGCTGGCGTTGAAATTGGATTCCCTTTCTCTTTGGTACTTGAGGCTTCTGAATCATCAGGCTGTTGCGGACGAGGTCCTTTACGCATGTTGGAAGAGGTCGAGAGAGGGCCCTAGGCGCTTGAAAATTTGTGCTATGGAGTGTTGATTGATAAATTCGATATTGAAATTTTGGGATTACATTGGTAGTAAAAATCGTTTGATTTTTTGGTGTTGAAAGATGATGCAGTTGAAAGTTGAAAGATCGTCATAAGGACCTGGTGAATAAAAAAAGATCCGACACACCAGCAGGAAAGTTTACTGGGGCTGAGAAATTGGATACCAGGAGACCAGGTGGACTACTAGGTAAAGTTTACGTACCCCGGATTTATTAGTAGCGGATCAAGACATCCAGAGCCACTTTACGGGTGATGCTAATGCACATTAGAGATTTAGCATTCCAAAGTGTAGCAGTCCATAGCAGTCCAACCTCTTCGTTTGATAAGGCATAGATAGCTACAGGAGCTATTTGCAGAGCCGGTATCATTGCTGAAGACAGGTAGGTAGGTAGTATTTGATGATTCATTACTCCTTTCATGCCACGGAGAAGTACAAGTACGACGGGAGCACGAACACCCACATAAATCACCAGAGAAGAACTTTATCTTCTCAAATCAATATTGACATTGGGTCATCATGCCTTGAGATGATAAGGATCAGGGAGTCAGTCTCAGTCAAGCGAGCCTCATCGGAAGACGGCGATATCGATCGTAACTTTCCTCATCTTGGTATGCCAGAGAAGATTTCATCAGATTCACACGGCGCACAAGCAAAGAAATTTCTATTAGTTCTTGTACTGATTTTGGTCTCGCTGTGGCTCCGGTCCGGCAAGGAAGGTTCAAACGTACCCCTCATTTCTTCCTTGTAAATTTTCCTGTTTGGCGTACGTCGTTCTCTAAGGAAGGATGGCAAACAGATCTGATTCAAAGACTTATCCTCAATTTAGACCCCGACAGCTGTTAAACAAGGTAGAGAAGAGCCAATCTTTCTCTTCGGACGGTATATCTTCAAGTCGCAGTCGGAATGTTGATTCAGATGAGTTGTACACCAGAACCATAATTCATCTACCTCCCAGGGATTTCATCGAATACTCCGACTTCAAGCCACACAATGCACATGACTTCCAAGGTTTCATGGGAACTTGTGACGGGTGTAACTGGAATCCCCCGCGAGCAGGTTGGATGTATCTTTGACATCTCGCAAGATGGAAATCTAGACGATTGTGAACCTTCCCCAAGCAATTCCAACGCGCAAGGTCAGTAGGTAGATAAACCGAATTTCTACTTTGAGACATTCACACGGCACACAAAAGAACAAGTATATGCAGCTGATAAAATGAAATTTCAAGGTTGAGATATTATCCAACCACTCCAAATCCTTCACATCGCCTGTTGCGTCGGATTGGCACTGCAAGCCTGCCTAAGCCTGGTAAGCTTAAAGCACAAGTCGATCCTGAATCTGTAAGCAGAGAAGATATTTTCCCAGTCTTAACTACTCTGGATGTCTTGGAAAAGCCTTCAATCCTACATAACCCCAACCAGTTCCTAACCTCACCCAACCCATCGGAATAATATTCCACGAACACAAATGAACGTCGTGCTCAATTAATAAGGACTTTGACCCTCAACAGAGTTCAGCAAAGAATTCAAAGTCGGCAGAGAACACGGCTTTCACATTCCAACAATTGATTCTCAAAAGATAGAATAAGATTTGTGAGAATCACCCCCCTCCGCCTCGTCTCTCTCGATCGATTGTTCAAGCAGTTCATGTGCGAAGGATCCAATACACACTCCAATCAGTACGACCAACATTCATTCCCCGGACCGATAGAAGGCGGGCATAATCAGGTCCACCGGTGGTCGCAGGAAAAAGAAAAAGTGGTCAAACAACTTGATTAAGCCAAGTTTTTTATTAATGTCTCCACAAGATCCACAGCAGCTTTAACTGATCCGCTAAAACAAAAGCTTCCGGCCCCAGACACTTGAAAATCTACGGTTACGGTTCATCAAGTACAAACTCAAAATTTAGCACGAGATATATCGCCTTGTTCCCCTCTATTTCTCACTTGGTGATCGACAACACAAACTTGGGAAGCATGAGTGAGTAATCGAAAACACTTCTTATAGCTGTATACCATGTTAATCTCCGATTTCTACTTCCATTTTCTTTTCTAATCTCATACAAGCGCCCTATGCGCGTTCGTCAGCTTCGGTCCACCGCGTGTGTTCTTGCATGGCCTAGCCACATCTCACGTTGCGACTCCATCATCTGTCCGACATAGAGTACTCTCGTGTTGACCAGGGAGCTTACAGCACATTTCCCCGCGTTACTTGATGCGCATGAGAGTCTTGGATTATACTGCTGCATTTTGCATCATGTCTAGCTAACCATTCATCTTCACTCATTCACATTGCTTTATCCTGTCTCGTTTTCTTCCTCTATAAAATGCTTCATCCAGTCTGACCTCGGACAATAGTAGAGTGATTTCGCCACCCTATGCGCCAATTTCAACTCCCTAAAGCTTTCAAAGACCCTCCGACAGAGTATTGGCAACCTAAGATACCGTACATATTGCGACACTTACTACAAGATAATATGAGATTATGACTTCGATATTGACTGCATATCCTCTGAATTTGCCAGCAAATAATATCATGGCTCAAATCGATCCGCCTGCTATGTCTCAAATGGCCGACCCCGTGCTACAACACAGGCCTAATGGAGAAATTGACGATAAGAATCGCGGTAGACGTCGAAGCCGTATATCAATGAAACCCACAGAAGATGAAGGCGAGCTTTCGCACGGGGAACTTGCAGAGGGTCGCACTTCTGGTGATGATGGTCCCTCGCGAAAACGAAGGAGAAGTCGCAAAGGCCTAGACAAGAAGTTTGAATGTTCTACACCAGGCTGTGGGAAGAGCTATTCTAGAGCTGAGCATCTGTAAGGTCTACGCAGTCGCAATAATCTGTGAATTTGTTGCTGACAACTTGTCCATTTAGCTACCGCCATCAATTAAACCATACCCCGAAACAGATATACAACTGCGACTACGAGGAATGCTCGAGAACGTTTGTCAGACAAGATTTATGTAATAGGCATCGAGACCGGCATAATGCAAAAGGTTCACAGCTACACAGAAAAGATTCAATGTTGAGTCAAGGGTCACCAGTATCGCAGATTTCACAACCACAATTACCTCAAGGGTCCGCGTCCCCTGAGGTAACAAGACCGAGTCTAATGGGTTCCAAGATACGGACAACGCAAATACCATACCAGTCTCCACAAGACATTCGACCTACTTCATATTCGCCAGTGACCAAATCAGCACCCGGAACTTATTCTGGTGCTGGCGCAGTTAACGGCGCAGATGGATATCCATCTGCCAATTACAAGCGCTCCGATTCTGATATGATCCAGAGAGGTCAAAATTCATCATCTGCAGGCTCTAATAGCAGAGGTCAACGACATCAAAGCTTTGGAACTTCTGATACGAGGTCGTCTGATTTCTCCAGACCATTGCAAACAAATGTTGGTCATTATCCTATGCTACCGAATACCCCGAACAACCAAAACTACCATGGCAATCAACCGCATAGTCCGCAGGCATACATAAGCCAACAAAACTTTCCTCCATTTAGCTTACCACCGCCAGGATTTGCAAATGTAGCTGCAACTACGATGCCCTCACGTGAGCCTGAATCACAATTTCAAACTCCTGTTTCTACCGAGTATCCAAATGAGATCAGTCAAGCTCAGCATTCGGGTCCAGACATGGTGCTTCTAGATCAAATGGCTACGTCAAACACAATGCCGGTATTCGGTGGCGAAGGATGCTACAATCGATCTCCATTCGCCATACCCGAAGATTTTGTAGCATATCTTTTCAGCAGCCAACAAAACGAAATGGGTCAGATGAGTCAACAGCCTTACGCAAAGTGAGTATCCTAACACAACTACCCGGTTTGACAAGTATCTAATTCACATTTCTAGCAGTTACCCCGACGCTACAGCGCAGTACTATGCGCCCTATTTTACTAACGATATTGGTCTTGGAGGGTTCTATCCTCCTACTTCTCATCAACCCCATCATCCTATGGCTGTAACGAGTTTGCTTGACACTAGCTTGCCGGAGACAGTCTTGTCAGAAGAAAAGAGTCAAGCCATTATTGACTTAATCAAGGAAAGATTCAATGAGACTGGAAACGCACCCCTTGTTAAGCAGAAAAAAGATGCACTTTTTGACGGGGACCGTAGCAACGACAGTCATATGATGAGTAGGAAAATGATGCAAACCTACATTGGTAGTTACTGGTATCATTTTAGCGATCAAATGCCAATATGTAGGGTTTTTGTGATTCGTTATTGAAGTCAAGTAGAGCTCGCTAATTTTCGTTTTAGTGCACAAACCAACGTTTTCTCCAGATAATACACCGAACCTCCTTCTGATTGCAATGATGGCTATAGGTGCCTCTCTTCTTGACAACACGTACGCCGAAGATGTGACGCAGGCTGGTGCGGAACTATCGAATTTCTTGGCGTGGCACCTTAGATGGGAGATATTCAGTGACCAACAATTCCGCCCTCCGGCAAAATTATGGGTATTCCAGGCTCTTTTACTCCTAGAAGTATACGAAAAAATGTATTCTACCAGAGCGCTCCACGAAAGAGCCCACATCCATCACGCAACCACAATCACCTTGATGCGTCGGGGTAGCTCATTGATAGGCCGTTCTGCTTTGGATTCACCCCCGAGTGCGAGAGAACAAGGGCACAATAATTCACGTCAATCGTCAACCTCAGGAGCTAACACACCTGATGAGTGGTGGAATCATTGGATTACGAATGAAGCGACAAGACGAGCCGCGTTTGCGGCATTTGTTATTGACTCTACGCACGCAACGATGTTTGGACATTCTACCGTCATGGTTGCTCACGAGATGCGTCTTCCTTTGCCATGCGATGAAGCCATGTGGAATGCCACAAGTAGTGCTGAAGTTGGTAGATTGGAGTCAACCCTCCAAGCCAATGGAGTGAAGCCTATATCATTTTTGGAAGGTCTGAAACGAACTCTTAATGCTCAAACGGTGCGAACAAACTCTTTTGGTCGTACGATATTGATGGCAGGGCTCTTGAGCGTTAGCTGGCATATGCATCAGCGTGATCTACAGGTCAACTCATTGGGAGTATCGCAGGCGTTAGGCGGCCGAGACAAATGGAGAGGGTCCCTGACTCGGGCATTTGACCTTTGGAAACGAGATTTCGACATGTCTTTGCTACAACAATCTGAAACGATGACAGGACCATATGCTTATACTGGTAAGGAGAACAATGTTGTCTATCAGTCCAGGACAGTGCTTCATCACCTCGCACATATGGCAATGCACGTTGATGTTGTTGACTGTCAGATATTTGCAAGAGCGAAACGTCTTCTTGGTCGCACGATTGGATCACAGGACTTGAACAGTGCCCAGAAAAGAATGAAAGACGCTTGGGCACCGACCGCTAGAGCTAGGGATGCGACGTTTTATGCAATCAAATTTCTCTGTACAGTACTTCTTCCCAAAGAATCTACCTCAGTCTCCCACGGCTATGATCATGCACAACCGGATCCACCATTCGATTATTCGGCTCGCGACGATATTCTTCTAAATCGACCGTGGGTTATGTATTTCGCTGCTTTGATTGTATGGTGCTACGGATATGCACTCGAAGGATCGACTAACGCCCCAGTCCCGTCTCCAAACTCAATGGACGACCAAGTTCGGGATATGCGAGCCTATTTGCGACGATTCGGCTCGGTGGATAATCCTGAGGAACTGAAAAAGTTGACTGGTCTCAATGGATGTTCTGGGATGCTGATGGTTTTGAAAAGCGTTTTTGAAAAAACGAGATGGCAATTACTGCATGAAGCTGCTTTGTTGTTGACCAATTGTATCAATCTTTTGGGTGGACCTACACCAACACCTTCCCGTGAATTGTGAGGATGTAAATGGCGAGGTGAGAGGAGCGGGCAATGTGTCCTGGATGGAGGTAGTTAGCCTTATGATTGTATAATATTCTTGACGAGGTTTGGAAAGGGGGAGCTATTATTGATATGGTTTGGAACAGATATACTTTGGAAACGATATGGGAGGATTTCTTTAGTTTTTATGGAATTTTAGGGGAACTTGAAGGCATTGGGAATCTGTGGATACCCAAGACGTGGAAATACGGATATGGATAGGATGTGATTTGTTAGGTTGCATGGTTGAGTAGTTGGGTTAGGGAGTTGATATAGGTACCAATATCATTATGACATATTCACACTGGGATGTCGGATTTATTTCTTCTGCGACTGAAGATAAGGTCCTGTCAATTGATACTTTTAAGTATTGATCATTAATCTATTGACAAGGAGAGCTTATAGTATATTGCCAAGGGTCTTTGACCTGAGATGGGCTGAGAGTGTAACAAGGAAGCTATCTAGCATGTAGGTATTCCCTCTTCGCTTCTGCGCATGATCTCGAGGAACTGGCCACCGTGTGATATGAAGTGAACAATAAGCTTGCTGCTATCGTGCCCTGCATTATCTTCCACATGTTTTCCCCGTGGTATTGGTGACATCTAAGTCAACCGCAATGTTTGGACCCTTTCTGAATCAAGCAATTTTCGTGTTTTGATCTAAATCCGCCACTTTCATTGGTTTGATGTGAGATTTCTGTCCGAAACCCGAAAGCTTAATCGAGATGAATCTATCGCACTCTGTCGCACGGAGCTCCAAAAGATACCTTTGGGGGATCTCGTCCGTGCAGGGACGCAGATCTTCTCCGACCAATTGTTATATTATTACAGGGTCTCGGGTTAAATCATTCTTAGTACGAAGTAGACTTCTCTTCTCCAAGGTCCCAAACATCTTCAAAATTATCACAACAACAAACTTTCGCTCATGTGGACCTTTCCTTTCCGCCTTCCCTTCTTCGACCCTCTACATAATTTGCCATCTAGCCTTTAGGATTTCATGTAATTTCAATATCAAGCCGACGCACTATTCGTGGCGCTGCTCTACTGATGGGTACTAGGTAGACAAATATCATTGCCATTAATATGAGATTGTTCCACGCACAAGGACTAACCGTTATTACTTTTTGCTACCCTCATTCTTTGACATCAAACTATTGTTTCAGCACTGATAGTTCCCATCTCATCTCTACTAACACATTTTCCTATAACTACCTATTCACGATCTTTCATTTCTTCAATGTTTCAAAAGACAACAAAAGATCAGAACCTCATTTTCCCAGAGAATACTGATCAATAGTAGAAAAATGTCGAAAACTGTTCTGATTCTTGGTGCTTCTTATGTCGGATTAACAATCGCGCACAAGTCAGTATATCTAACTGTGTGATGCGATGAAGAGAGTGACTAATGCTATGCAGGCTTTTGAAAACGACTCTATCGGCGGTTCCTGAACTCAAGATAGTTTTAGTCTCGCCAACCACACATTTATATTGGAATATGGCTTCAGTTCGAGGTTTGTGGCAAAACATCTATTCGTACTTTTGATTCTATTCTCACAAACGGCAATAGCAATTGTTCCGGGGCAATTCGGAGATGAAAAGGTACGCCAATACTTGATGTTAAATATTCACCAATCTCTATCGGCGTAATTGACACTATTTCCAGATGTTCGCAGAGATTGCGCCTGGCTTTTCCAAATATCCAAGCGAATCTTTCGAGTTCCTCTTAGGGACAGCTACGAGTATGGACCCAATCGCTAAAACAGTTACAATTAGAACTACTGCGGGTCCGGATTCGGTTCAATCATACGATTCGTTGGTCATTGCTACCGGTAGTCACACCATAGGCGAAGTACCGTGGAAAGGAGCTCCTTCTGGATATGAACAGACTAAAGAACTACTTCACAAATTTCGCGAGAAGGTGGCCAACGCAAAATCTATTGTAGTGGGAGGTGCAGGACCTACGGGCGTGGAGACTGTTGGGGAGTTAGGATTCGAATTTGGAAAAACCAAGGACATAATATTAGTACGTACCATCGCGTATAGTTTTAGTTCCCAATTAAATAATATACTAACCGAAAAATAGATAACATCAAGCGATGAAATTCTCAAAGGTGCAGTTACCAGCCCCATCGCCTCAGGAGCACAGAAAGAGCTGGAAAAAATGAACGTCAACGTGAGGCTCCGAACGAGGATCAACTCGACGAAAGTTCTCCCCACGAGCCAAACCGAACTCTCATTATCCAATGGCGAGAAACTCGTTTGCGATCTCTATCTACCCACGCTGGGCACGATCCCAAACAGCGAATACATCCCCAAAGAACTACTCGATGGCCAAAACTTCGTCAAGGTAGATCAACATCTCCGCGTCCACGGCGCAGAAGATGTCTGGGCCGCAGGTGACATCATCGATGCGCAACCAAGCCAATTCGTCTACGCCGATAAACAAGCCCACGCTCTAGCGAAAAATCTCGATCTCGTGCTGAGATTGAAAAATCCAGTCGTGTACAAAACGGATGGCGCCCCCATGATTGCCGTTGCTCTCGGTCGAAGCAAAGCGACGGGCCGCTCGGGGAATTTCAAATTGCCGAGTTTGATTGTTTGGTTTGTTAGTAAGTATTTGTATCCTCTTTTATTATTCCTCTTCCTCTTCCTCTTGAAAAGAAAAAAAAAGAAAAAACTCTCCCAACCATCACATTATGACCCACTAACCACATCCCTACCAGAGGGTCGCACGCTGGGCACCCAAAATCTACTTCCATACGTAAACGGCACCAAGTTTTGAACGGACGGACAAACGCACACACAAATCAACAAACGAACGCACACACGATGCAGGATTAATGTAAAATGTAATGATATGGCGATGTAATCACGAGCATAATCTGGAGAATTGGACTGCTTGGGTCGGGTCGGGTCAGGTCTGGTCGGGTCAGGCGCGCATATATGGAGGTTGTATTATATACCCAGGCCGCTTTTGGAAGATGGAGGATACCTACCTATAGCGAGCAAAGGTGTTGGATATTTTTATTTTACGTGTAGTGTATATAATACATATAATACTAGATAATTTTGGTGATTATTTATATTTATTGATATTGATATTGATAGTACGGGATGGGATGTATGTGTTAGCCGTGAGTACCTTCGCGATGCTATGCAATGCTGTTTAATGCTGTGCAATCATTTTTATTTCAGTCTGTCTAAGTTTCTGGATCTATATAAATCTCATGAATACGTCTGCTGATGGTTGATGGGTCGAAGGGTGGATGAGCGTATTGTAGTTGTACAAGTATGAAAATAAAAAAGAAAGAAGAAAAAGAAGAAGAAAGAAAGAAAGAAAAAAACACCCTGCTCGCTCTGCCCGCCATTCTCCATGAAAATCTAGAATAATCAGACCCCCAAACTCCAATCCCACACACAGTCCTGTATTCCTTGTTCCTCTACAAAAACTCAAGCTCAACCTGCAAAAAGATACCTGATATAAACTACACCATGGTCCCTTCCAATCCCATCCCAAGATCCACTTCCTCTATGAACTACATACACACTACGATCTCTCCTCAACCTGCACCCCCAGCTTCTCCAAGACACTTTTCATCTTGCGATTATCCACAGTCGTCTCCTTCATTTCTCCTCTCATGAATTCATTAAATTCTTCCCATCCATCTAGATACAAATGATGGCCTGCTTTTTGGATAATGACGACTTTTGCGCTACCATTTTCTAGTTCTTTTTCCTCTTTCGATGCTTTAGCGAGAGCTTTTTCGCGCTCCTCTTTACAAGCTTGTTCGGCGGCGTAGCCACCGGCTACATCCATCCAGTCGTTGTCGCCGTACATTAAGAGGATGGGGTAGCCGTGTTCTTTTTGGGTAAGGGATGAGGGAGAAGAGGAAGGAATGGGTTGACGGCCTACACCATGGATGCGGCGGATTAAAGGAGAGCGGGCAAAGGCCCCTGGGGCGAGGATATAAGGGAGTGCGTATTCGCCCGATCCGCGTTGGCGAAAGAGGGAGTAGGCGTACATGTGGAGTGCTTCATTTTCGTTACTGGGGAGATGGGAAAAGCGGCGGGATGTCCAGCCGGAGACGAGACGGGGTCCCAGGGGGCCGGCCCAGCGAACGAGAGAAAAGGGGGATACGTTTGCGTCCCAGAGGTAGGTGAGCCAGAAAGGAAGGGGTCGTTTTGCGGGTTCGGATTTGGATTTGTTGTTTTCGCGTTTGTTGCGCATGTTTCCAAAATTGTTGTTGTCACCGGTGGCGCGTCTGCTTGGATTGGAAGAGGAGGATGAAGAGACAATGTCTGCTTCTTGGTCTTGTGTAAATTCGCTTGCGAGAGTAGATTCTTCGGGCTCGGGCATGGCCGCTGAGGTAGCATAGGGATCTTCAGGAATTCCCACTGGCGAGGCGAGTATCAATTTGTTGAGATGCCCAGGATATTTAAGTGCGTATGCAACAGCCATGTAACCACCCATACTGTGGCCTAAAAGTGTAAATTTGTCGAGTTTCTTAAGAACACGCCATTCTTCCAGCGCATCAATGAACCAACTTTCTGTTTCTGCGATTTTGCCAGCTTGATCCTTTGCACTTATTTTGAAGGGTGGCCGGGTGCTTCGTCCCATTCCTAGCATATCCAGAGCGTATATTTTCCAGCCTGGCACTCGACTTAACCCCTCGAAGTTTTTGTAGAAGAATCCGAGACCTGCACCGTAGCCGTGAAGCATTACCAATGTATCCTCGACTTCTTCTCCCAACCTTTCCACGGAAAACTCATTCAATGCTCTGTTCTTCCCGCTCAGTTTCACAAGATTCGAATGCCATTGTCTTGGACCATGAGGATCGTTTATGGAATTTGTTCGCACTGGTGCAGATACAGCATTCGGATCATCGTTTACTGATATTGTTGATGTGCCAGCTGAGACTGGGGCAGAGCCAGTCTGGGTATGTGTAGGTGGCTTTTGTAGATAGGGAACGAAGGACAATACAGTGTGTTCTGCGACAGCCGGTGAAACGCTTGACCACCACTGACTGAATGCCGGCTTATAACCTAGAGGAAAGAAGCCTCTTGCGGGGGCATTTTCCTTGGAGTTCTCACGACGAGAAGCGAGTGGAGATTGTTGGCTTCGAGGTGCCTCAGTATCAGAGGTAGCCATTGTAGTATAGGTGGTAAGATTGGAGAGTCGTTTCAGATATGGGAGAGCAGACTTTCGTCCACCGAATTTGTCTGATGGTCCTGATCGCAATAAGAGCGATATGAGATTTGTGTGATACAACTTGAATGATCGAGAGGCAACGCGTGTACCTCTCAATTGCTTATAAAGAGAGTAATGTTACTTTTACTGTCGGCGGAGTTAAGGACTTTGGAATAGGTACGGCCGGTGGACGCCACTTTAAATGTTTCGCCGGCTTATGGATTGTGGGAGTACGGAATTAGATAGAATAAAAGATAATGTGAGGATGGATAAGCATACTGTACTCGAGGGAGAAGGTAGCAAGCAGGAGAAATCATTCAATCATTTGAAGGGGTATTTAAGGGATTTATTTGATGTACAAGAGTCAGTCTGATCTATTGACAGGTCGTCATCGTAATGGCGAATGCGAATGCGATCAACCAAACTCGGTGATCGGAGCAACCACAATCCGAAGTTCACCAGTGGTTCCGTAGAACAAGGCCGTGAAAATGGATTATATTTCCTCTATTCGCATTTGCTTCATTCCGATTGGACCTGGTGATAACATACACCTATCTTGAATGAATTTGTATAGAATATAACGATTTATTGAATTTACTATAAAATCTGGTGGTTGGTGGTGGTCGATGATTGAAGATAAGATATTTGGTCGAGTAAGAAAACATCCTCCACCATACCACACCGATGACGGTGTCAGCTGCTTGCATGAAAGTATCCAAAAGCGAGACACACCAGACATAAAAGTTATCATTGCCGAGCTTCTAGAATATTGATCCTCAACCCAACGAGCCAACATCAATACCTATCGGTGAACTATGCCACCCCATATTGCTCCACAACTCCAAATTTATTCTATTGGTAGCTGACATTGGAGTTTGTTTACCAAACAGCGCATTCCATTTTTTTCGTCCTTCAATATAACTTCGTTTTTCCCAACATTTTCCACCCATTGCGCACAAGCCTCCAATTCCACAGTTCCACCATAGCTACGAGGAGAGCATGATGATAGTGCCATAGCTTCAAATACTATAGACGTTCATCCATCGCGATGTCTAATCTCGACCAGATAGTCAAAGGCGCTCCGCCTCCAGGTGCCCATATTCCTCCCATCCCAACTACTGGTGTTACACCGTCCGAACCTTCCATTACCGATCCTCTCGCATCCCTTCCCTCTTCTCCCCCGCAGATCTACCTCAATCTTCTAATCCTCGAAGCTTCACTTCGCGCGCAGTGGCTACAACTTCGCTCACGAAGGCGGCAACATGCGTTCTTTTTGAGTTTGCTAGGGCTATGGATTATATGGTTTGGATATGCCTTATTCCTGGCGCCGAGAGAAGATGGCAGTGGTGTAGGCGGATCTGTATACTGGGTTGTGGAAATGACGGAGAAAATGTGTTTCATGGGCGGTATAGTGACAGCACTATTAATCTGGGGAACTGGACAATGGGAGCGAGGTATTCGATGGCCGCGAAGATTTGTGGGTATTACAAACAGAGGGCTTAGAGGATTTAATTGTAAGCTGGTGGTTATCAAGCAATCTTGGTGGAAGGAATTATTGTCGGCATTATCATTTCTATTCTCGTACGGCTTGTTCTCAGGCAGCAGCGGTGGGAGCTCATATCGATTTGTGGATCAATCGATATTGAAAGAATCGGAGAAGGCTACGAAGAACGGAGGGCATCATGCGCTACGGAATATACACGAAGATGATGATACGAAACGTTATGAAGAAGACTTGGCACCTGGTGGAGATTACGTGAAGCTTTTATTGCTTCCCAAACCTTTCTCTCCTAATTTTAGAGAAAACTGGGATATATATCGTACCGAATACTGGGAAAAGGAAAATGAGCGACGAAAAATATTACGACAGAAATTGAAGGACCGGGAAAGGAAGCTAGCAAAGCAACAAGGTGGATGGTTATGGTGGACCGGGTACCGCGGATGGAGTTCAGGGCATGCGACGGATGTTGAGAAGATTCATCATCGACCTCATCGACAAAGTACAGCATCGAAACGTGATAGGAGTGCAAGCGTACGATCACATTCTCATTCTCGCAATTCATCTCGAAGCGCAACACCTACCGCCGAAGCTGATGAAAGACCTGGCAGTAGTCACACAAGGAAAGCTAGCAGCGCATCTACTGCCTCTGAGCGTAGGAGAAAGAAGACTCTTCCTGTTCCAACCACTGGGCAGAAACTCGCACCCCCTTCTCCCAGAGTGGGGGCCGGAGGTTCCAGATCTTCTACCCCTGATGTTCCATCACCATTAGTTAGGGAATCTAGCTTCACTAGTCTCTCTTCTCTAGATAGTGAGAGGCCGGTTACACCACTCTCAGGCGATGCTGATTCCGCAAGTACTAGATCATTAAGATCTTCTACAAAGGGGAAATCGGGTAATTTGAGGGCCTCGAGAATCGATGCTTTGGCAGCTGAAGGTGATGAGAAATAGAAATAGATATCCTTAATGCTATGAATGTCTTGTCTTTACCCCCCTTCTGTTTATTGTTTGCTAGTGATTCTGCAAGTAGATTGTCATGTTGTAGTTGGCGGCTATTGTACTCGTGACAATTGACTATGCTTTAAAGAAAGTAGTTCTGTCGTTCTTTTAAAAGTTGATTGATTTCTGGTCGTTGAAGGATGAATACAGACTTCTAGAAGAATGACCAGTGGTCACCTTAGCATTAAATGTATGACATTCCTGAGTCAAGTGACTCGAAGAAATAGTTTGATTCTTGCCACTGCTATAGTCATGTCAGTTTCCGGAAGTCCTTACGCTCATCTTAAAAAGCTTTTTAATGTTGTTAGAATTGTCTCTATCCCCTAAGGTGCCAGCTTCGGGCGCCCTCGCTTAACAGGGTCTTATTGACCAATCAAAACATCAGGATTCTGAGAATTCTCATAATTTCAACATATTTTTTTGAATTAATTATTACATGCTTTGAAATTTAATAAATATAAATAGTACAATCTTTATATTTATATAAAACCTTATATATATCTTTATTTTATAAATAAATATTGAGTTTTTGATTTAATAATGTTTTTAATTATAAATTATATTAAAATCGTTTATAATTATTATCTATTTCAGAGTATGAAGTATAATAATATTTATAAAATCTTCCACTAATTCTTTTTCAATAAAAAAGTTTTGGAAATATATTTGATTTATTTATTATTACTTTTCTTATAAACTTCAATCTTTAAATATAATATAAGGACCTTTATTTATAATATTATCTTCGAAAATATTAATGTTCTTATTCAACGCACGGGCCACATCGGGCGCCCGAAGCTGGCACCTTAGGGGATATATAAATCCTATATTCTACCGAGAGACATATACATCAACAGTTTGTTATCTTCCGGATCGTATTTACAATACTTACTTCCTGTTCAGAGTGAAATATCTGGTTTCTGGATTCGATATATACATACAATACCTGTAAGATATAAAATCTACCAGCTTGATACTTGATTGGGATATCCTCAGTTTTTATCGAGATTCGATTGATAGGTTGTATAATCTTATGGGGTTAATTGAATTCCTTCATTTTCTTCTTTGATGTCTTTGATGTGGAGGTACAGAGTTTAAGAAGTGATTACTACACACCTACTTAGACATTTATGGATAGATTGGGTTGTGCGGGCTTCGAGGTTAGCAGTGATGATTGTCTTAATAGCGGGAAGAGAGATTCATTCATTTATTCATTGAGTTATGGTGGTGATGGTGGTGGTCAAGTTACAATATTGGTTGGTGATAGACAATGTACCACTACCACAACAATGACGATCCATCCATCCATTCATTATAATATATCCTTCACAAGGATGACAAATGAATCAAAGCCTATTTAACTGGAGAAAGATTAGCTTGTACCACTTCACACAATTGACGCCTCTAGAAACTATCAATGCAGAGTAGCATATGTGAATCATACGCGAGAGGTGACTTAGGCATGAGGATACCTTACAATCTTCAAAACCCAAGAAATAAAGTCGGGCGTTGATTTGAGATTATGCACTTTGATTGGGTAATACCAGTTAGTATGAATTTGGATGATACCACAGCGGAAAGATAGATTCCGAGAGGGGAGGTAGTGTATAGAGTGTGACAGCTACAGAGTGATCTGAATCAGATTATTCTCGAGTGTTATTTGATGAGAATACATATCAAGCTCTCTGAGAGATTCCCGCATAATCGAGGATTAGTGATTACCAGAAATAATCAAAATTCTATCATGTACACGTACACAATTCACAAAGAAGGAAGATCAATACAGGACACGAAACTCTCCCCTCCCAAATAACATACAATCTATTCCTCTTCCTTTTCTTTCCTCTTCCACTGTGCCACACTCACTCACTCATTTCCTCCCTGCGATCCCCATCGCATTTCATATGTAAACGCCACATCTGTAGATCCAGACTCGAAAGAAAAACATCTGCCGATAATATACGCCTTTTCCTCTTCCTCCTCTTTCGTAATACCACCACCTCGATTACTGGATATCGTATATGCACCTTTTGGGCACGGTAACTTAAGCTCGAAGCTTGATTCTGCATCTTGTGTGGTATTGGGGTATTGATTTAGAGTTATATTTGGCATGCGAGGGATGCATATATGCATGCTGCGGTGGTATTTTGGGGTTGGGATTTTCGTTTATCTAGTGGTGAATCCTTAGGTGCGACTCTGATATTCGATATTGGATATTACATATTGGATCTGGAGATGTACGGGAATGGAGATTGAGATGGATGGGATGGGGATGCTCGTTTGGTGTACCCCGAGATAGAGGAATACTACCTAGTAGGTACTGAGGTAGGTAATGAATAAATGGTAGGGTAGTATATGATGTCGGGATGGAATGAGATGGTGCTGATTGTGTGGGGATAGTCTGATTTGGTATCTTATGTATGCTGTTTAGGATGATGTTGTTAGTGTGAAGAAAATGGATGGA